AAAAGGCGGTCGAAGTGCGGGCGTTTCGAGTATCGGAGGAGTCGCAGGCGTAAAGGTAATGGCGGCAAAGAGCGCGCACGGAGAGTCAGCTGAAGTGAGGTTTATGAGGGGGTCGAGGCATACACGCACATCCCGCCACAATGAGGCCTGGACTGCGGACTCGAGAGCACTGTATGTACGGATCCCGGTCTGATGCGTAGCGTGCTCGACGCCCGGTCTGACGCCAGCGCACACATGTAACCGCCTCACCTTGCCGGGATAGATTGTACTCCGCGCGCGACTCGGCGGATCTGGCCATATATGGCAAGCAGCGGCGCAGCGACTGCGGCGAAATTGCGGGCATCGGCGCCGGAGAAGGCGGGGGATGGCTGGAAAAGGATCGACAGCGGGCAGGAGAAGCGCGCCTCGAATCGGCCCCGGTGAGTGCCTGACCCGGGCGGCTGGAACCCTTTTGAACTCCGCTGTGCCTTAATTGAGAGCGGTCAGGCACCTTTTAGGTTGAACGACCCAAGAGCGAACGGGGCCAATGGACAGCCAAAATTCCCCGCTCCCTCCCGCCGACGACAACGCTCCCCAGCACAGCGACAACAACATGGCCGCCGTCGTCGCCCCCGCTGCTCAGCACTCCCCCCTCACTCCCTCCAGCACCGCCTCCACCCCCACCGCTGGCGTCAACAAACGATACCGCCCTGCCCCCGCCAAGACGTTCCAGTGCAGGGGATACGGCGAGTGCAGGATGGTCTTCAGCAGGAGCGAACACCTCGCCAGGCACATCAGGTACGCAGATCGCCCCAGCGCGCGCCCTGATACTCACCTCCTCGGCCCCGCCAGGAAACACACAGGCGAGCGCCCTTTCACCTGCCATTGTGGGAAGCAATTTTCGCGTCTCGACAACCTCCGCCAGCATGCGCAGACCGTCCACGCCGACAAGCAGGATTCCAACGAGCGTATGATGCACGAGCTCACCTCCCTCCATGCCAGCATGACCGCTGCCAACAAGGGCTCCAACCGCAGCAAACGTGCCGCCGCCGCCGTCCCCGCTGTGTCTGTCGCCGCCTCGTCAGCCCTCTCTGGGTCTGCCACGTCCATGTCCATCAAGCAGGAGGATGGCCTGCACTCCCTGCCGTCCATTCACCAGCGCCCGGGCACCAGCACCGGGTACGAGGGTGGAAATCTCTATCATACGAGTGCTACATGGCACGTACAGACGTCCGAAATCGACCGCCCGAGCACCAACAACCATTCCTTTCGTGACCCCGGCCAGTCCTTTCGTGGCCCTACCGCCGCCCTCTCGCAATCCGCCGCATCGTCTGCACCTCAACACCAATACCCCGGCCAGTCCTTTCTCGTCCCCACCGCCGCCTCCTTCCAGTTCGGTCTCCCCGAGCTCGTCGGTGGGAGTCGTCCCGGATCTAGTAGCGGCCCTGCAGCACAGGCAGAGTCCCTCCCAACTCTCCCTCCCCTCTCTGCCGTCGTCTCCTCCGCCCTCGCTTCCCCCCTCTCTCTCCCGCGCCCACCCTATCCACCCGTCCCCGGACCACATCACCAACAGCCACTCACAGAATCACACATTCTTCCCTTACCCACCCCAAGTGGGCCGTATGGCGCCCATGGTCGACGACCCTCCACCGCCGCTCGGCCAGGCACAGCTCCCGCATCCTACTACTACGCATCTGCTTACTCAGCAGGAGCTGGAGGCCTACCGGCAATGGGCGCCCCTCGTGGCGGAGAACTATCCTTACCCTCCATCCATACACTTGGACGCCTCGGCGGTGGTCTCGAGCCCCTATCCCGACTCGCTTTCGGTGGATATGATGGCGGAGACGATCGTGAACCGACCTCTCCAGGGGGAGCGTTCGGCGACTCTCCGTTTTCATTCCACGCTCCCGCAACCGTCCCGGAGGTCGCCTACGGAGGTGCCACGTCAGCAGCATGTGCACTATACGGCGATGCCGCGCGGGGCGCATATAATCCCAGGAAACGACCCCACGAGGGATCCGACGATGATGAGCCACGGGGTCGTGAACGAGGAGATGCTGGCCGCCCACCTAGCAGCGGTGGGCGAGGTGGCGAGTACGAGTACGGGAGCGACTCTCGGCCCCAGTCTCGACGGCTCTCCGTCATGGAGCTCTGCAATGACACAGATGCAGATGGAGCAGCAACTGGACCACATGTACCGCTTGCAGCAGCAGCAGGCGCACGCGCAGAGCCAGCATCCTCACGCTCGCGGCCCACCACTTCTTCAGCAGGACTCGTCTCGTCCGCTGCGCAGCTCGCACTCGTTGACCGCGGGAGCCCCGCATGCGCCTCACGCTCACCCGGGCCTGACTCAGGCGCAAGCACACCGGTACTCGGTCGAGCTGCGACGGCAGCAGGAGGAGCAGCTACATATGCAGCAGCAGCAGCGGTTTCGGCAGCAGGAGGAGGAGGAACGCGAGCGGCGCAATTCGGAGGAGGCGTTCATGCAGCACCTCGCTCAGTATGGCACCAGCGCGAGTCCGCACCCGCAGGGACTGGCGGACGGTCACCCGTACTTTCCACAGGTGGGGCCGGATGGGGGAGCACACCAGGGTCACCTGTCGGGGGATGGCGAGGAGGAGTATCGTCACCCCGGGGGGATGCTGTCACCGGGGTATCAGCTGGTGGGAGTCCCAGGAGTGTCGGGAGCGGAGGGGAGTCCCACGGGGGGAATGATCAGGTACGAATCCCCGCTGTCGTTGGAATGAGGGCGTAGAGGTGGAGGGAAGCGGAACGAGCAGCACAACTCTCGTTGTCTATACCGAACCTGCTCGTGAGTCTACATCCTAAGGAGCCGTGCGTGCTACTGGATCGCGTCTTTCGTTTCGGGGTTTCGTTTTCGTTTTCTTTGCTTCTTGGACCATGAACCACAGCTAGTGGCTCTCTGTTCAGTGGGCCTACACGTATATATTGTATATATCCTCTCGCTTCGCAGATATCCTTACCGACAGGCTTGTAATTGATCGATTGCTGGACTTGCACGTACATACACATTCGCTACTACATACATGAATTGCACACATTTTGCTCGGAGAAATACTCGCTTCGAGTAAGGTTGTTCTGACAAAGCCATGTCGGATCGACCTTCAAGACCAGGGCATCGGCGCGACAAGGATGATCTCACTCGCGGAGACATCTGAGCTCTCCCCTCCGGCGGTCGGAGAGGAACAAAGGTGCGGAGATATTCTGGAGGAGATCTCGTAAGTGGAGGCGCGGATGATCCGCAAACGGCGTCCTGCATGGACCCTGGACGATCTTCGCGAATTTTCACCGTCTCTGGCTGCGCTGATCACAGCGCAGCGGAGGACGCGGCTTTCCCCCGATCATATATACCGATCGCGTCCTCACGCCACCGCGCCCGTCCTTGCCTTGTTCATCCCCGCCGTTCTCGCCATCGCCGCCGCTGCCCACCATCGCACGCAGGACGACTTGGCGGACTTTCCCGGAATGGCTAGCGGTCTATCAAACTCAGGCCCGCTGAAACGCAACTCAGACTGTTGCGGCATCATATTCCCATCAGCATCTTCCGATGTTCTCAGCTCAGACACGTCTGCAATCATCCTTCCCCGCCAGTGCCTTTCCTTTGTCCTCCATGCTGTTCTCCTCGTGATCTTTTCATCTGTCCCATCGAATCCCGTCATCCCTGCCCTGCCTCCCGCCACCGCCGCATCCTTCCTGCGCTCCCTCCACGACACACCGCTGCCCTCGTCCGACCTGGCTGCCCATGCTAGTGGGCGGCTCCCGCTTGCTGCAGTAAAACGCTCGAGTCGCGGTCATTGTGGATTGGCTCGCGGACGCCCATGAACTTCACCCTTGACGACGACTCTCCCGACCTCATATACTCTGCCAGCGGCTGGGGAATCCAGAGCGCGTCAAATCCCGATCTCGAGTCGTACTTCCAGCGCACGTACCATGTCGCCGAAGCTGATGGCGCGACCGTAAACTTCACCTTCACCGGTTCCGCCTTGGCCATCTACGGATCGACTGGCCCCGGGCATGTAAGTCCTCCCTGGCCCTCTACCTCCACCAATGCGCGCCCGCCGCTGACCCGCCACAGGCAGACTTTGACGTGCAGTTCGACGACGACGTGATAGAGCTCTCCGCGTTCGCTGCCGAGACACAGTTCCAGCAGTTGCTGTTCCAACGCTTCTTCTCCTCGCCCGCCAACGCCAGCTCGCACTTCATCTCGCTCAAGGCCAAGTACACGAGCGTCGGCACGTGGCTCGATGTCGACTTTCTGACGTTCACCGACGGGGCGATGTACGTGTCCCGCCCACATCGCACCGTTGATCGACGCATTGACCAGGACATCCGCCCATGAACGCAGCTCGTGGACCGCGACGACGAGTGCAGCGGTTGCCACGGTGACGCCTCCGTACATCAGCGGGTGAGTGCTTCAGCCCCGCGAATTTGTGTTCCTTCCACGCCCGCCTTCCATCCGCCGGCGGTGCGATCTGATCTGCAATCCTCCGCCGGAGTTTCGTTCCTGATCGGCGTACAAAGCGTGGATGCCATGCTCCCACACGCGCGTGCGTGCGTTGTTAGCGTGAGCTTGGCCCTGATCGAATCCTCTTTCTCTTCACCTAGAATCCACTCTTCTCCACTTCGATCAAAAATTCGCGTTTCGTTTCACAATCTCATCCTTCCTTCCGCAGCTCGTCTTCTCTCGTCACATCCCCGAGCGCTTCGCCGTCCCCATCGTATGTCCGTCCGTCTCAGCTTATTCCGCTGCTGACCTCGTCCTTCCCACCGTCGCACGCCACAGCTCCTCCGCGTCCGCGTCATCCTCCTCCAAAACCCCCGTCATTATCGCCGCTCTCTTCGGCGCCATCATCGTCCTCGCCCTTCTCGCCTTCCTTATCTACGCCCTCCTCCGCCGCTTCTACGAACACGGCCGCGCGCGCGAGCGTCAATTCCGCCACGGCCAGCCCACCGGCGGCGGTACACTGTCCTCCAGCTTCGGAAACAGCGCCGCCGCCCCGGCCCGCTCGACCGCCTCCCCTGACGTGCGCGACCACAGCCACGGCGTCCTCGCCAGCCTCCTCAACTCGTCCACGCTGAGCCTCGTCTCGGCCTCCGCGCCGACCTCGCAGATCGCGTTCGCCCCGCCCTCGCCCACCGCCGCGCGTGCGGGCAGTCCGAGCGTTGTCACGGGCGTGCATGCCCCCACGCCTGCGTCGCCCATGAGGTCGCTCTTCTCCCAGCCTGTCTTCTTCCAAAAGAGCCACAAGGGCGATGCGGACTCGTTACGGACGGACTTTTTGCAGGTGTGAGCGGGCACCGCTCAGGCCCGTGTGTATCTTGGTATTATTATCCCGGACTCTCTTAGTAGCCACCTATCTATGCCAGAGGCAGCAGCGTTATTACAGTTCTTACATTCGTCCCCTCGTTGTACATCACCATCGCCCTCGTTCATGCGTCCGTCATTAGCCCGCGTTTTCTGTATTTCCTTGGTGTTCATTGCTGATAGTACGTATGGGGGCTCCTCGTACTCGTATTGTTCCTGGATCGTCGTACCCACGGAGGCTCCCAGATATGTCCCCAATATGCATCCAACTAAAGTGCGCCGTGGGAGGCGCGTTGGAATCACAATCAGATCTACATCAATTTACGAAATACAGCACGACTTGGATCATTTACAACAACACGGGGACGGCGCATAGCTATCCATCATCTAACGCAAGTACGCATTCGTCACGCATCTCTCGTCCAGGCGAACGCCCCAGGAAGAGAGCCCTGTCTACCCGCGACCTCCTCAAACTCCCTAGCCCTCGTGTTTGAGGAATGCAATCTGTGACCGCCACCGCCGATCGGTGCTCTGCATTCGGGACAAGTCGCGGATTCCATCGCGCCGCCGCACTGCACGATTGTCTTTAGTGAGAGACATTACGGCGACGTACACATAGCATCTTACCTCTGTGATGACGAAAGTATGTCCGTTCTCACAATTGTAGAAATGGCCTCGGTGAGCTGATAAAAATGAGCAGTTAACACGTGAACGGAACTACCAGCAGCGTTGCTGTGACTCACAAAATCCGAACGCCTTTACAATGTCTTCGCGTTCTTGAAGAGAGAGTGGCTGATATATCTTGTCCGTCAAGACGAACCTCTCGAGTGAGCCACATTCTTCCCTCCACGTTTCGATCTTCCTACGACAATTAATTTTGTACCACGCAAGTTCCTCTTTCAACTCGGCCATGTTCTGCGACGGCCGGCTGCGAATGTACTCCCCCTCATACTTGCTGACGACGTTCAGCAGATTGGTGCTCCATCCCTTGACCTTGGCCGCGAGCTCGCGTCGTCGAGCGTCGTCAAGTTGCCCCGTTCTAAAGAGCTCGTTCCGCTCCTCGACGATCTGCGTTCTGAACTGCTCGAACTCGGCACGCAAAATGTATACCCCGCACCTGGCGGCCTGGCGCGAGGCGGATGACCGATGCGCCATCAAGAGCGCCTTGCGCGCATCCGCGATACACGACTCGAGAACGAAGTTGACGAATGCAAACCAGCGCTGGCGATGCAGCATGATCGCCTCGTTGTCCGACATGACCGGCAGGCCCTCCAAACGACTGGACGCGATCTGGCTGAGCATGAACCGGATCTCCAATGACAGTATGTACGCCTCAATCTGGAAGCGCGTGTCTGCCTTGTGCGGCGGTTGGCCGATCTTGACATTGACGATCTCGAACGCAGTCTGCTCCGGTGTGTCGGTCTCGCGAGAGGGGTCTGAGGTGATACCATCCATCTCTAGACGATATAAAGTCGATAGAGCAGCTTCGTACGCCTTGACATGCGCCCCTGTCGTCTTCGCCACCCTGACAATCTGACGATACACGAGTACGAGGTCCTTGACTATCTTGTACCACGCCTTGGCCTCCTCATTTGATAAGCCATGGATGGAATTCATCGATTGTTGGTTGAGCAGGTCAGGATCCAGAGGCTCGTTAGACTTCCCACTTGCAGATCGTGGTATGAGATTGTCTGGTAACGATTCGAGGTCGCTTTCCAGCTGCTTTGCCAGTTGCTGAGTTGCGTCCAAGGAGTTGGAGATCCGCCCAATTGAAGGAGACAAGTTAGTGAGGGTCGAAGACATGCTGCTAGCGACGTTCTGTTCGAGAATATCCAGTGTCGCACGCTTCGTGACTCTTCCATAGCGCAATGCCGTGATCGGTCCTCGACAGGCCGGACACGTCGGGGGAGTCTGGTATTTGACCGGAGGAGCCTTCGTCGCGATGAACTGACCCATAGGGTCTATTTCATAATAATCGGCCATGCCGCAATGACCATCCAACGTCTCCACAGTGAATAGATGGCCGCATTCCAGTGTGATCAGCCGTTCACTGGTATCATGCGAACTAAGGTCAAGTTCTTCCAACCGCCGCTGCATGATGAAGTCGACGATGTCCGTTTTGCGTTCCGTAGGTAAGCAGACCGCACACGATTGCTTCGCACAAGGCTCTCCACAGACTGTCAAGGACCATGATGCATTAGTTCTGCGCCAAAAAATTGCTGTCCCTCACTCACTTGAAGGACACGGATGTCCGCACAGCAACACGTTTGTGCAAGGCTCGTCGCAAGGAAGACGCGAACATATCTTTGGGAGAGCACGAATCAGCATGATTAGGCACAATGGCAGCCAACGAACAATCCTCACCGAGCCACACACAACAGGGCACTCTTGGTGAGGGCAGTTCCATTCACACGGTTCCATGCATGGAGCACAGGGTTCGGAACATGGCTTGCGGCACTGATGATGGGTGCATTGTTGCCGACAGATTTCCTTGCAGGAGCTGTTGCACTGATGATCTTGTGAACAGTCCAGTCCGCACGCATGTTGACAATAGAGAGGACGGTCACAAGGATGGGCAATGTGGCGAATACGTGCAAGCTTCCCTATTGGTAGTCTGGACATGCCGAGAGAGGTTTCATTCTGGCATGCGTAGCAGGCAGACTTGCAAGATTTCGAACAACAGCTCATGAGGCCACCACAAGGTTCCATGCATTTGATATCCATAGGATCCTTCGAGCAGGGTACTTTGGCGTAGTGTTCGCACCGCGGCAATGGCTTCAGGACTTTCTCCTTACACTTGACGTTCGAGAGATCTTCTACCATATAACTGCATTGTTATATCATGAGCATGCCAGCTTTTGTGCCACTGATCAGAATTTACCAAGGAACCCTGTCGGCAACGTGGCCGCATGGCAACGAAACGTTGTACATGGGGAATTCACACTTGCCGCAATCGTCGGAGCACCGTCTTGAGCATGGATGGCTACGAGGGCATGGAGCACGATTACAAGGCTCATAGCACTTCGTACTGCGATGGTTGTCTATAGCGGCATGGCACTATTGAGGAATCAGGATCCGGCCAACAAAAAACAAGCGTCGGACACACCGCAGACGGACATAGATGTCCGCAACTAAGCCGGGATCCGCAAGGAAGAAGGCATCCTCCCCCAGGAGCCAACGTGCTTAATTCGCCAGGTTTGCTGATGACCTGTTGTTCATGAGGATGGCGCGGACATATAATGGGAAAGCCGACGCCAATCTGGTCATTGGCCTCCATATCGTCAAGGATTGTTGACCATGTCTCGTTTCTGCGTAGATTGGCCGCATTTCCTAAGACGTACAGCCCATGCTTCGCTCGCGATAGCGCAACATTGATGCGGTTGGAACTCTGCGACCAAATATCAATTCTATTGGCAGAGCAGATATGAGATCGAAGCCTTACCTTCAGAAACCCGATTGATGCAGAGCCCGTCTCGAACGTTCCTGAGTTGCGCACTAGCGAAACGATGACAATCTTCGCCTCTTGACCTTGGAAGATGTCGACGGTGCCAAGTCGAACCTAATGCAGTATCAGCTGAAGAAGGGCCTCTCGGAAGCAGATACACTCACATGCTTCGCCACCAGTACTTCTTCAACCTCTACCTCTTCATCTATGCCTTGCCGTGCCAACTGCTCTTGGTCTCTCTCGTCGACCGCTACAGCAATCTTTAGGTCTTTCAGTGCCGCACGAACCTTTTGAAGTTGCCCCAGGTAGGCACACAAGACGGCAATATCTCCGGCGCCATTATATACTCCCTGTCGAAGGAAGTATAGCACGAGATCACGTATCATCTCAACCTGAATAGCCATTAGCAGTAGGCGAATGCAGTGAGGTCCGAGACATACTTCGTACGTATTGTGCTTGGATACCGAGTCGTCAGACCCGTTTTCTTTGTTCGTGTGCGTGAGGAAGTATACATCTTTTCGCATACCCTGCACCGGAGGATATGATAGCACAATTTCGTTATCTTCAAGTCTTGGATACAGAATCTGGCTGGAAGGGTATGAGCAGGTAGGAATCGTCGTGATAATACATACTGACCGGATGAAGTGAGATATAGTCGGTCGCATCCTGCGCTGCACGTTGATTTGCGACATAGGCAAATCGTTGTCAGCTAGTCTCTCCATGAGTGAGCGATCGAACTTGAATAACTCCTTTCCGCGTTCGCTGTCCATAGACAAGGCTGTTAGCAAGTGTGCCGACCGTCAGTGGCATTGTCACGGTCTACGAGGATGAGAGAACTGACCAAAAGTTGCTAGATTCGGGCGAAGCTGCTGAGGATCCCCTATACAGATCAGATGGTATACTGGGAGAAGTTTAGAAACGTATACATCCTTAAAATTGCTGGATACCTACCAGATGATACCAAGGAGGTCAAAATGTGGGCCTCCAGGACTTGACCAGCCTCCTCGACCATCAACACCTTCGGAGATACATTCTATGGTAAATGATTAGAGTTTTCTAAACACAATAGCAACACTAAATAATAACGAGGACTTACACTCAGCAGAGAAATCAGCTTCGCGGCACCTTGAGGGCGTGAGCGGTAAGCTGAATGATGAACAGAAATACGCTGACGTACCAGTAGTCGTGCAAGCGATTAGATCAACCTGGCTAAGAAGACGACGGCGGGTCTGGTAAAATTGACGATCGTGAGCATCGGACTCAACGCACGCCAAGCTTATATACCTCATCTCTGATGTCGTTGTATTCCTTGCACGCAGCTTTGTAATCTTCGCGCAAACTCTCATAGTGCTGAACAAGTGATGTGTATGCCATCGCGCGGATCTCCTGCTCCCACTGTTCACCCAAGCGAGATCGTTCGTCTGAGGTCATGGCCCAGACATTACTTGTGCCAAGGAGAACGTTGGTTGTGCGCGTTGTTTCCGGGGCACGGGGTATCTGTCCTCCGAAACCTAACGCTTTAAAGAATTCGAAGACAGCAGGATCGATAGTGGGCTCTGTGACATTCACGGCTGCAGCTTGCGACGTGTTTTTAGCGCCCTTTTTGCTTGCCTTTTTGCCCTTGGCTGGAGGAGTCTGCTGCGGAGTAATAAACTGAATGTCGCGGGAATTCTTCCAGAAACCGTAGAGTGTCCGAGAAAATGCATCGTCGGACTTCTTCTTTTTCTTTCCAGCGACTTCCCATTCGCCGTTAGCATCCTCTTCAGCCCAGATACGCTCAGAGAGTGCGCTGATCCAGTATGGGGGAGTGCGAATACAATCGGCATGATCCGGATAGTGGATGTCAAGAAACGACTCCACGCCTTCCCAGGTTAGCTCGGGGAGCTGGATAGACTGCATTACCTCGCTCATGTTCTCTTCTAACTTCTTCATTACAGCATACTGACGCTTGATGGGACGATCTAGCATCGAGGCGCCACCTGCCACGCGTTCAAGCCTATCCAATGTATATTGAGCGATCCGCTCGTCGGTGGAGCGTGACCCCAGTCGCACGATCTTGTTTGTGATATTCGCGTCGAGTACAGAAGTTAACATATGGTCGAGTGCATGGTTGGTAAATGCAATTAGGACTGCAAGCAATGAGAAGTGTGCGACAGTTGCAATCGAGAGACTCACCGATAGGCCTGATTCCGCTTGCGAATAGTACACGTAGGATTTCCTTCGCGGTGAAACTCTGCAAACTGGATCAGTCCTTCTGGACTACAGCATGGTATTGATGTCACACGGACCTTTCCCGTCCCGGGAGGTCTGATGATGTCATGGACAATTTCATTCGGTGAGTTGGCATCAGCCCACGGAAAGATTATGGAGCTCACCCTTGAATAAGTGATACTTCACGAACGAGAGTGTTGACAACGGCTTCGACCTGGCTCGGGTCGAGCACGCTGGACTCGACTAATTGACGGCGAGCAACATCTATGGCACCCGTTCGCGAAATATCAAGAGCTTGAATGCGCCCTTGATGACCCGGTTTCGCGAGGCAATCTAGATTGTAGCGGAACTGGGGAACCAAGGCATAGCGAGGAGGCATCAATTGCACGGTGTCTAAAGTGCTATTGTGAGCAATATATCGTGCGAATGGGATCTCTGTCGGTTCGATGGCCTTCAGTCGTTCCAAGAACGGACGTGAGGCTTCATACATGACACTATTATCAATGAGCAAACCAAAGGTCGACCCGTTGACTGATACGATCTCTCGGCGCAGTGCGAACATTTCGACTTCGGCATCGAAAAAAGAGATCCGAACTTGTACTCGCTTCGCGTTTTCTCTGGAAGACTCGGCAATGTCTTTTCCGAAGGATGTGATCACTCCGAGATAGATCTTCATCGAACCGTTCGAGACGAGGACGAGCGCAACCAGAGTCCCGCTCTGCAGCCGCTTGCTATGCTCCCAATATTCATAGCGCTTCTTTGCATCGGCATTGCGCGCACTGCGATGATCAGGAGTGTCGATAGCCAACCCAACAGTCAGATCTCGACGTTCCGCCTTGACCGGGGAGAATTGTACCCCAGTGTATAGCTGAAAGAAGACAGAATCGAATCCACTCGTCCTGTAGGCACCACCTTTGCTCTTCAGCAGCTCTTCGAGTTTGGTAGGTGTTCGTTTCTGTGTACTTTGCTGCCACATTATCGTAAGATCGGCGTGAAGAGCGTTCAGTGACGAGCGCATCGTAGCACTAACACAAATATCAGCGCACAAAAGAAATCAAGTCGTTAAGATATACATACATCAATTCTTCTCGAAGGAGACGGAACTGGATATCAAGATGTCTCTCCATAGAATCAACTGGAAGGTGATGAGGAGCATCAGGAACGAAGATAGGAAGATACGGGGCGACTGGACAAAGAATCTCTGCATGTGTAGGCGCTATGCGGATCTCGGAAATGTTATCGAAGTCATTATCATGTCTGGCGCCGCCTTGTCGAAGCGCACCCGGAGGGTTGTACGTCTGGCTGAGCTGAGATATCAGCGCCTGGCGCTTCTGTGCAGGGCTGAGCTTTGGCATTGCTGAGCGATGTCTAGACCTTTCCGCTGAGTCGGATTCCCGTTGAACAATCGCCTCCAGTCGTGAAATGTCCTCCTCCAGTTGTTTGACTGTCAACCTGCGTACGCTCGGCACTGAACCTATGATAGGATCATCGAAACGTGCCGGCGACGCCGAGATGTCTTCAAGCCAGATATCGAACCATGCTGCCAAGTCTGCAACGAGCTGAACAACGCCTGGGTGACCCCGCACTGCATCCTTAAAACGCGTGAGATACCTAAACAATAATCAGGTATGCAATGATAGCCACAAGACGACACTCACTGATACAACACCGTGGTAAGCGTTTTGAAGAGAACGATACCACTGAGATTGCTTTGGAGAGATTGAGTCAAATATGGCGTAGGGTCCTTCCAAGACTTTGCACATATCATCCCATGGACGGCACTACGAATGATCTCATGTACGGCGTCGTAGTTGTTCTCGATGACAGTGTATAGATGACTGTGATGCATTAGCGCAAGCTGGAAATCTAACAAGACGGATAACACACTTTATATTTTTGTGCATCGTACTCTTGAGCACAAGATTGGAAGCGAAATACTATAGCACGATGAGGGTCTCGCGAAAAACGACATGAATGGCAGATCATACCTCCAAGATCGGGAAGTAGCCCTTTTGAAATGATAGCACGCCACCATTGTTTCCAATGCAGAAGCTTACAGGCTGGAAGCGCAGCACTTCCCCTATGCGCAAGAGAGCATTCCCCTGGCAATGCGATTGGTCAGTCAGTAAAACAAGATGGAATCGCTGTCGATCGCACATTTACTATCATGTCAAGGAACGCCTTCGAATAGAATATGAGCTTTGATGCATACAATCGGTCAGAACGCACGATACCTGTGCACTGTCTGAGTTCTAATATTTGTGCATCCCAATGAGCATGGCAACCGTAGACGGAAAGTAGTGTCATACCCATGATTTATTTCGATCATTCACACTGGATAGAATGCGAACGAAGCCCTGTACCTGCGATGCACTCCCGAATTGATATGCATCTCCCAAGAAGGTCTTGATATGATTATGAGCTTCGCTCGGGGTGATGCCCTGGTGGTCCTCCCGGGCAGAGCCATTGTTCACAGCAAGACCTTCCATTGAGAAAAAGTCCGGTTCTTGCTCTTCAACAGAAACAGCATCTGGCTGAGCACCCGCAGGCTGTCGTTCATGCTTGAATGAGCAGTCAAAGCCGTGGCTGCAGCTGCCGGACGTCCAAAAATATTGACAAACATTGCGCGGTACGCCGGTGGGAGGCCCAGTGCGACGAACAGACGAAGTCGCTACTCCTGTGCGACCGGGAGAGACGCTGCTCGAGGATGCTTGGTCATGAGAAAACTTACACCTTGTGCCGTAGCGACAAGAGCCGCTGGTTGCGAATGTTCTACAAACCCCTTGCTGTCGACCGTTTGACATGAGAACAGCAGGTGAGGCCGAGGAGGTCGACTCAAGGGCTGAAGGTGGTGGTGAAGAGGAAGGAAGATATAGCCGCTTGCACGCAGGCATTCCTCGTGTCATGATTCGCGCCCAAGCCTCAGCGATAGCCTATCGGATTCGAGGTCGCCGAAAGGAGAGTACGCATAGAGAAATTGTCTGCTTCTATCATAAATACTGCTTATATGGTGACAGCCATCCGAAAACAATGCACACAAGGCACGAGCAGGCTCAAAACCAAAGTCAGTTAGGTATGGTGTGATGGTATAATTGAAGCCGGCATGATGGACAGGCTATGTACTGGCATAGAGTGTACATCATGTCAACAAAGAGAATATAGGCAAACATCGGTGAATCTGCATTTGCGGCCGCGAAACTTCAGCGCTTTAGCAGCTGAGGGCTCATGCAAGGACTGCTACATGCTATACACATTGAGACATTGCCACTGAGTGACGACTAATTAGTCTCAGTAACACGGTTAAGTCGGGAGTTTTACCCATCTGGTATGCCTTTTCGGCGGTTGGTAATGGGAGGGCTTTGTGAAAGCAGCGGCCGACACAGCCACATTTCCGGGCGCGCTACCTTTGACACTGTCCGCGGGCTTTGTGATGCTTATGTGTTATAACAAATTACCCAAATTGTCATAAACAATACCAGTGACAGACAGACAATGACTGCGGACTAGCAAGGAACGAATACTTCAAGGCGAATGAAAGCAGATAAGCAGCGCGTTCTGAGGAGCCAAGGAGCGTACGGCCACATAATCTCAGCGTAGAGCATGAGAGCAAGTGCAAGCGAGGCAAAATGACGGTATGGGGTCAGCGGGGTGGGATGAACACTTACGGAAGACAGAGAATGGCAGACTTCGGGATTAAGGTGACTAGGACGTGTCATTAGACATAAGCACCAATTGTTTGTCCCTCACCCAAGCAGCCAGATATGCTCGCAGCTATGACATCCACAGAGAGATGCAACTTCCTGGAAGGTTGAACGCGAATTCCGTTGGAAGATACCAAGTCGGCAGTTTCGAGAGGCAATCAGTCATTCAAGAGTCGGGCTATTGCAAGTGTAATGAGCTTTCAGTGAGGTCCAGCGAGCAACATCAGTTGTATAAGAGAGAAATGGTTGTTGTAGAATGTAGCGTTCGCCAGTATCCGGAACGACGAGCGAGCGGATGATGGTGTGGGGCAAGGAGAGCTCGGGCTTATACGCCGAGCTCCCTAATTAGGATTATTATATATATAAGTACATATTTGGAATATTACGTAATGTGGCGTCAGCCACAACGACTTCAGTGGGTGCTCTCGGATTGCTCTCTCCGGGCATTCCCAACACTCCCCCTCAAGCTGATGGGCATCCCTAGTAATCCCATTAGTTTTTGATGTCTGGGCTTAGCAAGAGGCTTGGTAAAGATGTCCGCAGTCATATCACCTGTCGGACAATATTTTACCTGAATAATTCCATCATTAACTTTCTCTCGAATGTAATGATGTCTTATATCAAAATGCTTTGATCGCGCATGAAATTGCGGATCTTTCGCAATTGATATAGCACTCATATTATCGCCGTTCAAAATTGTCAGTTTGGTCTGTTCGAAACCTATTTCTTTGAATAGATTTCACAGCCATACCGTCTCTTTTGCGGCTTGAGCAAATGCCGTATATTCAGCTTCCGTAGTAGATAATGCGACAGTGGATTGCTTCTTTGAGCTCCATGTTATCGCACCTGTGCCTACCAAGAAATCATATCCTGAGATCGATTTTCGATCTTCATCATTGGCGAAACTGGCATCGGAATATCTCTCGAATTTACATTGTTCGAGGTATGGTTTCCCTTCTTTGTGACCATATACTATTCTGACATCTCATGTGGCAGATAAATATCTGAGGATGCACTTTGCGGCTGTCCAATGTGCCATGCCAGGATTGGCAGTGAAAGAGCTTAAGCGTTGTACTGCATAAGCAATATCCAGGCGCGTTGCCACAGCAGCATACATTAGAGATCCGATAAGTGACGTGTATCCGTTGCTACAGTTTTGCACATCATCAATCTCAATTTCCTCCTTCTCGAGGGGAATATTCAGATCAAGAGGCATGCCTACTGCATTTGAGTTCGCTAACCCTTCTTTTTGCAGGATGAAAACAACATATTTATTTTGAGTGATTTTAATCATGCGCTTTGCACGATCTCGCTCAATTTCTATCCCGATGATCTTCTTTGGATCACCTAGGTCAGTGACTTCAGACATGGTCTGAAGTTCATGCTTCAGATGACCCATAATATTAGAATCATTGGTGAATATCAGTGGATCGTCTACCCATACGGTAACGATTTCCACTTTTTCACCTCTGATCTGAATATATGCGCAAGGATCTGAGAATAATCACCTAAAACCCACATTTATTAGCTCATGGTTAAGTTGAATATTCCACTCATGCCCGGTTATTTGAGTCCATAGAGGGTCTTGTGTAATCTGCATACACGGTGCGTCTAGTCAGCATACCCTTCAGGCTGGCGCATATAAATCTCCTCTTTCAGGATTCCATTTAGATAGGCACCTTTGACATCCATCTGTTGGATTATCCAATCGAGGATTGCAGCTAGCCCTAGGACAGCTCGAATCATGTCAAGACGGACCACAGGCGAGAACGTCTCCGTGTAGTCCATTCCAGGGATCTGTGAGTAGCCTTTTGCTACTAGACGTGCCTTGTGCTTGATTACCTCACCTTCCTTGTTGGTCTTCTTGACCAGGACCCATTTGTTACCTACCGCTTTGCAGTCTGGAGGTAGATCTACAAGATTCCATGTCCCCATATCATGCAGCTGCTTCAACTCAGCTTCCACTGCCTGCTCCCAATGGGGGCCATTCCAGTGAGTTCTTTGCATTCTGTAACGGTTTCAGTTCATCTGGATCCATAGAAGTGCACATTGCCTGGTAAATCACTTCGGCAGATGCAGCAGCATCTATGTCATCATCATCTGCCTCAGGATCATTAAGGAGCTGATAGTTCAGACGCGCGATCTTCCGTTTTGATCTCCGAGGTCCTTCAGGTACCTGCACTTCTTCCACATCTATGTGCTTCTGCTTCTTCAGATCAGAACATGGCACATTTTTGGTAAAAGACTCCCTCTTGCACATTTGATCCGACACAGATTTCTCCTGTAGCTCCGGTGTGTCGGTTGTCACAGAGAGTGGGAGCTGCAAAGCGGGCACAAAATGATAATTGCATGAAGTTTTGATGGCGCGTGTAGACACGTCGTAGTAGCGGATGGCGTGCAGTCCATCTAGATAGCCAACGAAGGTGTACTTGATGGCGCGGTGCTAACTTTGATAAGTTAAGTGCTTCATTTAGCATCTATATGTCAGATCTGAATTCACGTAGATATGCAATATTAGGCTTCTGCACGTTCCATTTCTTGTATGGCGTCATGTCAGGTAATGCGCGTGTAGGTGCATGATTCTTCACCAGGGGCATCGACCTGTGATTCCACTGAAAACATCATGAACACACTGTGACTACAGTCACAACGATGTGACTTATGTTTCCGTCGGATTCATGGTGACAATACTTTGAATATTGTCAAAATGCCATCTACATATTTCCTGTGTGATTTAATGAGAGAATAGCTGACTACATTTTGAATGAAGTCAGCTGCTTTATTGGGGAAAAATTCGCAGACATTATAAATATTATTTGAATCTGTACCCAATGCTGTCACTCATATCAATGTGGTATGATTCTGGTACCATTTTGGATGTTTTCACCAATAGGAACAGCTGAATCAAGTGGGAATCATTGCTGCTCCATCATTGATGGTATCGTTGTGCATCCAAAATGTTTCCAAATGCATCATGAGGGTCGCATGATGTTTTAATTGATAATGTTTCTTGTAAAAACATTGTGGATGATTTGTCAATGCAGTCTACATGTATCCAGCATGTGCCCATGTTGAGAAGGGCATATACAGCTTGCACACAATCAGGAAAAAAATTGCTTGCTTCACAAAGACATTGCAAAAACATTGATAATGTCTCTAAAATTCCATCACAATAATTCTCGGATGAATTCAGGATATTTTCCACATGGCTGCTACATGTGTTCAAAATGTTTCCTCATGGAAACCAATGATCGGACCAATCAAAAATGGTCTTGGCATAATATTTTAAGTTTTAAATTTGGTGTTTTCACTGGTAAGTACAGGATTCATGCTGAGTTCTCTGCCGCCGCCCATGGCTGGCAAACCCCCATGATGGCTAATCTCTTCGAGAGTTTCACGCACGAAGTCAAAGAGGTGCTGGACAAGATCCCAACTGGTTTCTACCAGAGTGGTGCTCATCCGTTGAGATCCTTCCCTTCCTTAATGGGTACATCTGCCCAGAACTTCTCAGTGCAGCGTCGAGCGGCAGGTGGATAGCAAGTCGCTGACATGTGGGATAGCGCCTCGGAGCTGCTCGACAGCGTGCACGAGTCGATATTTATCCTTGTATGTGCCATGTCGCAGCCCGCCTCTCATCGTTCTCTCACGCTGACGCCGTCACCAACTCCCACAGGACTGTGGCTCACCCCCGAACTGTATTTCTGATGCCCCACAGCATACCACCAGGAATGGCGCCTCGACCACCTGCTGAAGCGCAGGGCAGAGGAGGGTGTGTACATGTACGTCGTCATATACAAGGAGGTCACCGCGACGATGTCCATGGACTCGGAGCACACCAACGTCAGTGCGCGTCTCGTGTTCATGTGATATGATGAAGTGTGATCTGCTGCACCACAGCACATGCTTGGCACGTGCTCGAGGAATTGCATCCAAATATCGCATGCATGATCATCCCGACCATAGAGGAAGCGGGTGCGTTGTTCGTACTCGCTTAATCGGTGACACTTGTGACACGTGTTTCACAGACAATGTCGAGTTCTGGTCCCACCACAAAAAGGTATGCTCACATCTGGTCAGCTTATGTGTGGTGCTGACACGCTACTCCTAGCTCGTCATTGTCGACATCTACCGTGCCGCAGTCAGTGACCTCAACCTCTGCTTTGGGCAGTGGGACATGCATGCGCACCTGCTCATGGACGTGCACCCGTATGACCTCCGGCAGATCCTGTTTCTGGGCCAGGATCACAACAATGCACGTATCCTGGACTTCCAGCACTGCAGAACTATGTGAACAATGGGCTCAGCGTCATCCAGATGGTGCGCATGCCCTGGCATGATGTGAGTGTTCGTTGAGGATGAGGACGAAGCGGGCGAGTGACTGATTTTGCACAGGTGCACATGACAGCATGCGGGCCTGTCATGCTCAACCTTGTGCAGCATTTTGTAGAGCGGTGGAACGAGATCAAGAAGTGCAAGGTACGCCAATCGCTATGCTGAGCCACGCAGAATTCACCTACATGTGGCTGCCACAGTATTCTGACGATAGATGACATCTGCTAGATGAATGGCAGCCTCGATATGCTGCTCACGTTTCCTGTAGCCGATATGAGTGGCTTGCCTTCCCACATGATGTCGACGCGGCACCTCATGAGGCTGTTGCCCGTGCGTATCGCACCACAAACTTATGTTTGCACCCAACTGAATGTCCCCTCATTGACTATGACATAGAGCTTCCCCAGCATGAGGCCTGAGCGAAGGTGAGCTGCAGCTTCACACAGCGCTACCAAGGCCTGTATAGCGAGCCAACGGGCAATGAGCTCGATGACCTGGTGATATGTTTGCGTCCTCCCAATGGCACGTGCAATGTTCAGGCTGTCTGCAGCATCTCTGACTCATGGCGTGCTCACCGAGAAGAGTGTCCAGAATTCGTGTATGTGCCTTCTGTTTATAAGCCAGAACTTTGATGTGACGCAAACACATTTATTGGAACAGACTGCCAGATGATCCTCGAGGCTAATCACTTCATCTCCATTGGTCAGTTTGATTGAATCAGTATAGGTGTAGAGCTGTCGTCTGATATTGCTTGCTGATGTAGAGAATCAGTTCTTGTTAGTCATACCTTGGACCGATCATGTGCCATGGTGCTCATGTATTTTGCAGTATGCAGCATCTCGAACACTCAGCAGGACAGGCCTGTCAAGAATCAGATTGCGGCTGCATTGCGGATCTTGCAGGCTGCACAAAATGGTGAGAAGTTCAAGGTCAGTCACTTTATTGCGAGGGAAGTGGAGCCATTTTCATGATTGCTCATTCCATGCAGGTCATCGTCATGTTACTGGAGGTTCCGGCCTTCGCAAGGCAAGGCAATCAACCAACACTCTGCTGTATAGTGTGCATGCTCATGAATCGGTGCAGTGAAAGAGGAGACGTCCATCAATATCATCATAGCTGTGCAGTGCAGAACAATGAACTGTGGCGGTCACAACATCTATGAGGAGATCCATGCTGCTGGCTACGAACCATGGATACCATCTCAGATGCCGGCACTTAGAAGCTGAAAGAAACTCCAGCTCAAACTACATCTGATTCTACAAATTTTGAGCCTATGATCATATCAATGCTCCGTATGGTGAGATACCCCCTTCGTCCTTTACACGGCACTGATGTGGCCATCTAGACTCCTACTTTAACCTCGTTGAGGAGAACAGTGGAGTCAAGCTCCATCAGGCAATTGCAGCGGTCACACGTCTATGAGTCGGGGAAGACGAGGAGCAGGACGTGCCCACGGAGGTATCTGTCATGCTGCTGATCAGTGAACTTGATGAGGTGAGAGGTGAGGCTTTGCTTAGTCCGATATTAGTCCTTGCAACTCACACTGCTCAGAGCACCTCATCCTCATTGCCCCGCACTTCTACCAGAATCAGCAGAAAAAGGTCACCTCCTTCATGCGCCCTGCACCGCATGCCAACAACAACGAGGAGAACACTGACGAGGACACAGTCATCATGGATCCATTATCAGAGATGATTGAGAGACTCTGGATTGATATGGCAAAGAACAGTTGGGACATCTTCAATGAGCTCTTCCACACTGTGCCAACCAATCTGATGCACTCGTGGAATATGTACTGGGTGTGTCACCTTTGTTCAGTCAGCTTACAGAGGATATGTCTCACGTTCATTTTGCTTGAGATTACATATCGAAGGTCATGCCCAGACAGGTCGTCCCAGAAGTGTCACTCGAGCAAGCGAAGGAGTGTCTTTCTAGAGTGCGAGGTGCACTCGTGGAATGCCCTGTGGTAAGCACCTTCTGTCATTACCTTCCTGATTGACTAGCACAATTTTGTCGAAGGGATCAATTGAATAGGGTTGAATCCGACGCTACCCATCTATATCTAAGTATATTTCTTGGATACCAGGAGAAACAGAGTTGTCAGGAAGGACAAGAGAATCTGGGAATTGGAACGTATGCTTTGCTCTATCGTGCACGAGTTGGATTATATCTTTGTATGCGGAAACTGAGAACGTGTATGCAATAGATTGCCAGGACAAAGCAAAACGTACAAATATGATAAGTCACGATGTTTTGGAATGGAAGGACCAACTCAGTTGCATGAGTGAATGGGTTTCACATCCAAAAGAATCACTTGATAGTTATGGAAAGTACTGGAGGGCTGGACAGTCAGGTACGAGTACAAGACGGCATGCTTTGCGAAGTTTCGTGGATAGGACGAGGTTGTGCTGAAGTATGTCATGGGTTATCTATTTGATGGTTTGGCTCATCACATTTGGTAGGCACTATCAGGATGTGTGCTCGACGCTGCTCTGATATTCCGGTCGACTGCAATCCTGTCACCTCATACTAAGCATTGAAAATTGGGTGAAGATTGCATAACCAGCACAGGAAGTGACTCGCTCACCGTGCATCCCTGCTAGGAGAGCTCTTCGGCCTATCATGACAGTTTTGGAGCCAGAGCCTCCTGGCTGGTTATTCTCAATTGCTCTTTCCACGTTGTCAGCCTTGGCACCGGAACAGTATTCATAGAGTCGGTCTGCAACAGCCTCTCACTCACGGGAGGCTCGAGGATCCTCCAAAGCTGTGGGACAGTTCTAGTGCCTGTCATATACACTAGTTCATCTCCATTCGTGCACACCTCGATCCAGAGGAGTTAGGCACATTCCGACCACCATCTTCCCTTCTGCATTGCTGCAGATCGCGGAATGCAGCATTGATGCTGCACCTACCATATCTGCTTATATGCTAGCTCTGCTGGTGAAGCATACCCAATGATGTCCCATCGTCTCTTCTGGAAACTGTTCACAGCATTGGCCTGGAAGAACTGGATGGTGCTCTCGAAGCATCCTTGGGTACGCTGACTATTCTTAGAGAAAAGGCTGCAGATGTTCTGACCTTCAGTTAGCTTAACATTCTTCAATGCTTTATTCTTCCCATTGCATATGGCATATTCCTTGCAGTCGCACAGCTCTTCCTCGTTAAGCCAAACAATGTATGTCCCCTACATCGCTGACCGCTTCATACTATTAGGCCTCATTTGTTTCATAGTACAGCCTAGGAACCACCATTACCATACCGTGCCTCGCTGATCATTATGACGGCTCGTTGGCACTGGTGTGGGCAGATGGCATGAATGGCAGTGGCTCGCCATGTTCGACCGATATTATATCGCACATTACTAGAGGCTTCACCTCCAAGCATCTAAGTCATGTCAAGAAGGCGGACTCCCTGAATGATGTCCCTTCACTATGCCCAGAGAATTTCAACGGCCACTCCAAATGCTACACTGCAGTGGTCTTTAACTTGCTGCCTGGATCTAGTGGCAATGCAAGTTCTGTGGTGCAATACAACTACATGCTTCGGGTGGACTCAGGACTATATTATGTGAATGTAGAACAGCACACAAGCAGCTACGAAGAACATGTGCTGCCGTTGCAGTGGGCAATAGACTGCACGATCATTGAACTGATACGGACACCTCTCCTTCAACTGCTCTAGAATGGCATTTCACGCAGGAGACGAACAGCGAGCAAAGCACCAGCATCTGCCTGAGCTATGTCAGGGGACTCCGCACCCTATAGCTATTTGTTCTGGCACTGTTCATATGTTACATTGGTATTGCCTACCAGCTCCCTGGGTCCTTCATGAACAAACGTGCAACGCAACTCATGAGCCATATGAAGGCGATGGGCCTGATTGACTTAGCATGCATCATTTCTTGGCATGTCAGCATTTCGCTCATCTATCTCCCACATGGATCATCGTCTCTGTGATCTGGCACTATCGCATTTTCATCTGCATGAACGGTGGGCTCGTCTTCGTCATTCATCTCTTGCTGGCCTCTCCCTCATGAGCTGGTCATTCTTGGTGTCTGTCCCATTCAGTGAGAGCCTGCAGCTTGTGGCGATCGCGTCCATGGTGCTCGCAATTGTATTTGCCATCCTCACGCTCGTGGATGAGCGTGCGAGCACCGGGGCTGCGTTCTTTTCTTCCCCCCCCAGACTTCTACATCTTCACAATCTGCGCTGTCTGCGGCTTTGAGGTACATCAGATCCCCACAAGCATCACCCAGCCTGACTCTCACAACCATTTGACCCTTCTCCTGTTGATCATTGCCGCCATCGTGGGTCGATTTTCTGTGATGAGAGATGTCACTGATATCATGATTTCTGCAAGATCGACGTGTTCCTGTGGCCATGGATAGCCATGCTGCTAGAGAGAAGGCTGTACGGTGCACACAATCCATCAATGTTGTCCTGGTGATTTTGAAGAAAGCGTACACCAGTGACTGAGGAGGACTCACCGGTAGTGCCGCCCGGCATTGCTATCTCCATTCGGAACCTGGGAAAGGACTTCAAGACATCACTATTCAAGCACGACAAAGGGATGGTCACTGCAATAGCGAACCTGCACCTTGACATACTGAAGACAGGCATCTACATCTCGCTTGGGTCAAATGGGTAAGCCTGTGGAGGCGACATCATATATAGGGTCCACTGATGTTCACCATACAGAGCGGGCAAGTCGACGATGATGTCCATCTTAGCAACACTTTAAGGTCGCACACGAGGTGCAGTGCTGTTCAAGGGCAGGGTTGAGCACCCTCCTCTAGGAACGATAGGCCTCGTGTCACAGAAGAATGTCTTGTTCCCAGGGCTGACTGCTACCAGACACTCCACTGGTGGAGAGCGATCAAGCCGCTGAGCGATTCTTCGGATGATGCGGATATCGAGCAATTGCTGCATGATTGTGATCTCGGTAAGAAGATCCCCTATAATGTGAATGTGCTTAGTGGTGGGCAGAAATGCAAGCTGCATCTGGCAGCTGGGTTGGTTGGGAGGCTCAAGGAGTATGTATTGTTTAATTGCTCTTCTACCATTATCATGGCTGATTCGTCATTCGACTTCACAGCTCTCCTGGTGGATGAGGTCAGTCATGACTAGGTGGTATGTATACCTTAACGTTGACACAAATGCTAGTGCACTTCCGGCATGGATACACTGTCTCGTCATGCCCTCTGGCGAACCCTGACATCCGTGAGTCATGAGAGAACAATTGTTACCATGCATGTATGTTCACCTTATTCGATATTGTGACCACAAAATACCACTGCATGATCAGTTCCTCGATGAAGCTTATCTCTTGGCAGACACAATTGCCATCCTTGCAGCTCCTGAAGAATTAGTGGCGAAAGGCACACCAGTCGCACTCAAGTCCCGATCACCATGATGCTCGAAATAACGATAAAGAACATGGAGTCGAACATGAGGTGCCCCCACCACAAGCTCACGGGGTTTGAGAAACCATTAGACAACTGCATGGCTTGCACGGAGGACTGCCGTTCTTTGATATGTACAACGAGTTGTTCGAGAGAATGGAAGTGGAGATATCGGTGTGGGAGATCATTATACCTAATATGGGAAACGTTCACCGCTTCTGATCAAACACGTGGTGGCTACATATATATATATGAACACAGGCTATTGTACATGCATGCACCTTTCTTCATCCCACCATCATCCTCAACCATTTGCCCATATACTGGCTTTTCCCAAACATCAAGATCATTCAAGGCCTCACATTGGCTGTCCCAGGTAAGTCGTTCCTTCCTTATGCTTGACTCCCTCTTAACACCAGGTTCAGAACATAGATCATATTGTGGTGTACAGATCGAAGCCATGGTGGTGATGGTGTATCATGACCAATTCACATGCCTTGTTATGGTACTCTTGACAATTTACGTCCTCCTTTGCATTGTGCATGTGTTCATGTTCTTTTTGCACATTCACACATTCAATGATGTTATTGCCCAGTTGCAAATGCTTCTTAGGTATTGATTTTTCATTAACTACAATCTGTTGATTTTGATCAAATGCTGCCCTTCATTGGGTTTGATCGCATCTCCGCCAAACTGTACAGACTCAGGAAACATAGCTGATATGACTACAATTAGTGTGTCATATGATATAACTATTTACCCTCATTGAAAATGGAGAGGTAAGCACCCATCAACTTGTGCGGAGGTGACTCTGTGAGCCATGAGACATACCACAGATGAAGACTTTGACCTTGTCGCCGAGTGTCGTGGAAGCAATGTTCTGCTTGATCACCTCCCGGTTCACGAATCTCTTGTATCCTGCCAGCCCACATCCGTGATCATGTCAGTCGACTTGCATGCATCCACCCACGAGACACGACATACCTTTCCAGTTTGATCCAGGCTGGTCGAGCGTATAGATGGCGTTGAACGTGCTGGGGTGTGCCTTCTTCAATGCATCAAACTCTTCGTGGAGCAGGATGTCATGCTGGCTGATGTTGGCGAAGATGAGCGCAAACTTGGTCTTGTTCGATGGGTCTTTGAGCGCGCATTCTAGGACCTGGTACATTGGCGTGCTGCCATGAGGATTAGTGATGTCACATGAGATGTAGGCACACTCACTTACATGCCGGTACTGCCCACGATCATGCCCACTTGGTCATGCTCATTAACTGAGAAGCATTTCATCAGCAACCACTACACTCCAACTGATGCACCCACTCACTCTTATACAAAATCATCATAATCGACCCCTTGATTGTGAGCTTCTCGCCTTGCTTCAGCTCATCATCCTGCCATTATCATAGTGCTTGATGAGGAAGGTGAGCTTGCCCTTCTGTTCGGGAGGGGATATGGAAGTGTATGGATGGATGATGGGCTTGCCCTTCTCGTCATTGAGCGGTGGGGTGAGTCCTCGGTGGACTTGACGACCACGCAGGAGGCAATGGGCAGAAGAGACGCCTGGCCATTGTAGAGCTCGAAGACGTACCTGAGCCATGAGTGTGGTCAGAGGCATGTGCATGGAAGAGGGGAGAAAGAGGCACACTTGGCAGTGTTGTGGTTGTAGGGCTTGACGTGCTTGAGTTTGAACTCGACAAAAGTTCTGAGGGGTCGACCAGCCTCTTTTCCTGAACCTTCGATGCTGCGGCCTTCACACCGAAATTGAGATGAATGTAGGCTGCAAGGCCTAGGAATAGGTCGGATCAGATGCGAAAGAGTCAATGCCTAAACACTGACCTGCACCACCGAGGTAAAGGTAAAGAGGGAGAATTAAGGGCTTGCTTGGGTCAGAGGCAGTCACGTAGCGGCGATGCACTGAAGCACCAATCTGGGATCACTGGGGGTGTAGAGACCACTGACGAGAGGGACGACTTCGACATGGTGATGGAGGTGACTGGTACTCAATGCCACTGGAGAGAGTGTACATGTCAGGGAGGAATGTTGCTGCTTGTTTGACTTGTGGCACACCGTTAGTCTCCCGTGGGCAGATGAGACAATTCCTTCAAACCTATGCACATGCGGGAATGCTCCAGATATCCTTGTCTGACCACCGTACAAGAAAGGAAGGTCTTCGCCGCCTTCGTGCGAACTTCACAAAAGATATACCACCTCGGTTGACTACCTTTCTGCATCTTCATTCAACCCGTTCATGTCGCATGTTGCTATGGATGCGAATTAAATCCTATTTTCACTCGAATTAACTTGATTGTACACATCGCAAAGGCTGCCATCAGATCAGAAAGTGCCCGAAAAAGCGATGTCATCAATCCTGGCTTTCGAATATAGCTCGAATGTGTCCGGTCTGATCACCCCCTGTTCTGCATGCATCATGTCTTCAGAGCCCATCTTCAGAGTTGCACTGCATGACCAGACCATTCTCACCATCCCGTGATGGAACAAGGGCCCAGTTGAGAAAACACTACGCCAGCAGTCAGTACCGGAAGCACATACCAGCAACAAGCATATCACTCACAATGAGGGATCAGAGCTACCAGCAAAGCTGGGGGCACTCTTAAGCAGAGAACGAAGTTGACAGAAAACCTAGATGCACCCAACTTTGAAGAATTCAGTTCCATTGTCACAGATGATGGGGACCAGCAGAGACATGTTTAAGGGATCCTGATGAAGTGTGCGAAGTGTGCGATGGTCAGCTGGAGCCATGTGGATGAAACATATTGAAGTAACTTAATTCTTTGAGTCAAAACTCGTTGACTGGGTGGTTGCTTATTGCATCTGTCTAACATAACGTGTTCACAGAAGGTCCTCGGTTCGAACCTGGACGGACTGATCAGTTTTCTTTCCTTTTGTTCCTATTTCATTTTGTCGACGAGATAGTAGACTGTATATCGACCAATCATATATACAAGGGGATCAAGAGGTCTGAAATTCTGATAGATACATGCTACAACACATGTGGTTATCCGATCCAAGCACAACACAAGATTAACAGTCCATAAGGTTGCAAGTACAGATGCAATGGTTTCATATAAGTAGGCATCAGCGAGCAGTATATAGCACAACAAGATATTCAGAAGTGCGACAGCAAGAAGACAGAGGAATGAAACAAGTCACGGAAAATTGGTCATATCGCATATGTAGATCAAAAGGTCATCACAAGGTCATGGGTTCTCGGTGTTGAAGTATCGTGTTCATCCACAATTAAGCGAGTCATAAGGCGAGTGTGGTTCAAACAACCCAGGGCTGGGCTGCAGCGAAGCGAAGAGCTCATGTCGGATGGATACACTGGGCTGGGGTTGGGACGAATGCATCATTTGCTACGTGAGCACATGAAATGGATATAAATTCGAGGAACATATGATTCACAAGTCACAAACTCATGCTGCCACATAGCCCACAATTCTGAAAGGCACAGTCCAGGGGCCGGCAGTTCAGGTGGTGAAGGTGGCGCACTAGTCTGCACTCTCCACGAGTGATGAGACAGATGGGGCTGCATCGTACGCCATGCAGGCCGGATGGGGGTGGGCTCCTCTGGTGGGGGTGGGGGCAGTGGTGCTTCGGAGCTTGACTTACGTGCTCTTTGGTTACATCATCTTGCAGGGTCTTTCGGGCATGGCAACAGGATTTCTGGCATACGTGTCGCTCGCGATCTACTAGCCAAGCTGTACCTCATAGGTAGTACACCACGGTCAATCTACAACATCAAGTATAAGCTGCTGTCAACATAATGGGGCTCAATGTTTCCCTCGGTCATGCTCATCGCCTGTGTCACTATGTCACATGTCTATTCTTTGCATGCGCACCGTATACTGATGTTCATTTCGTAGCAATCGCGTATTCTGCCATTTCGCCTATCATCAATGGTCTTTCGGCAGTGACGTTCTTCCTGTTTTACGTGCTCTGGAAGTACCGCCTGCTGTGGCAGCCAGCCAGCTGCGAACAAGTGAGATGGAAGGCCAGTTCTTCCCCAAATGCGATGCAGCATGTGTTCATCAGGTTGTACATGGAGGGGATCTGTCTCATGGCATTGTTCTTCCTGGCTCAGGACAGGAACAAACAGTCTAGTGCAATTCCGGAGGGAGCATTGACGATGATGCTGACAGCATTCACAGTGCATCGATGATCTCACGTCCGGATATAATGAGAGCATTTCACTGAATCGCCATTGTGCCTTCAGGCGTTCTTCCACGTGATAATCAACAACTCGTATGGACCGCTGATTGACTGCTTCTTACTCACACTCACAAATCATGATCGTGAGCTTCTGGATGAAAAATGCACTCAGTCTGAGCGGGAGCTGCAGGATATAATGAGTCAGTGATGAGCGCCGTGGAACCCATTCAGGTGGAGAAACAGCAGAACCCAAACATGAAGATGCATGTGCGCCCTGGTCCAGAAAGCTGCAGTCTCATCGATAGCAAGGGAAAGGCACAGAACACCGAAGACATTGAGCGTGATTACAATGACGATGACGTGAGGCAAAGTGACAAAGACAATGCCGTGGTGCGGAAGAGTATCCTCAGTTTGGATGAAGAGGTGGACCCGAAGGATTTTTACCACCCAGCGAGCGTCGAGCCATAACAAACTATATGGATTCCGGTAAATTCACTGGGCCTCGATAAGGCAGAGGAGGAGGTTATTCGAGAGCAGGGGATCAAGATGACAACGAGAAATGTGCACATGGTCAATAAGGGCCAGATCAACATCTCTGGCGAACTGCCAGATTACGAGCTGCCCATTTACTGAGGAGCATGCGAGGTGCTGTAGGAGATGAGGAGGAAACTTGAGCTTTTGATTCCTATTCCGTCAGCTGGGCCGTTCATTTCATTTCTGTGGATGGGAGGTCTTTTCCTGTATCGCTCGTTCAACACATCTATAATCTATACGGGATATTGACACAGGATTACATTCTCACCTTCTCTACTAATAGCTACATCGCTACCATTTATACATACCATTTCTTCACATCAGTGGGTCATCACGCTTGCTTTTCTTATAGTCATATAGAATGCTGTCAGCACCGGGTAACCCTGACTCAAATAGCTACCTTGAATACCCATCGCGTTCATGGACACTGTAGAGGAAAGGCAAAAGCTCGCAGTATCTGATCAATATTAGCATCAAAAATGACATCAAACTTCATTGATGATTCAAATGTTACATGTTATGCTGGTACAAGGTAAAGCAGATCAACCATGAAAACATCAGAGCAGATCGGCAAGAAATTACAAGGGTAAAGAAAGCAATCATGTCCTGAAGATTCGAAGGAGCCACTGCTCCGTGATGATGTGCGTGTGGCAAAGTGAACATTTATGCGTGCCCCTCATGATGAGCTCCAAACATGGTCAGCAGAGGCAGAGATGTCTGCGCAGACGTATAGCGAATGACCAGTAAGATGAGATCAGGTCAGATTGATCACAGGCGTGCACTCACCCGCAATCAATGATGGCGATGTTAGCCTCTTCATCTCAGCAGATCACACATGGGCCCATGTGCTTCAGCTGAGAAGCCATGGCTTGCATGTTGGCAGAAAGGCCAGCATGGGCAGAGAGGATGCAGGAGGCTTGGCAGGCAGTGGCGGTGGTGACATGACTTCATCTGTCCTGTCTTCATGTGACCATTCCGTATTCTGTGCGAAGTGGTCGGGTTGCTGAGTTTCACTTGTCAATGAAGCTGACACAGACCCAGATCCAACGGAGCTGACATTGGTGCTGCTCTCCCCTGATGCGGTCTGTGTGCCAATGCCTTCCATCCATGCACTCATATCCTCCCACACGCATGCTGCCTGTTCAGCCTTCCTACGCTTCTCCTCCTCCATGTCCCCACGCATCTCCTCTGCCAATCTCTTCACCTCCAAGTCATGCACATGCTTCTCATGTTCATGTCGCTCCTCCCCGAGCAGTGTGCACATCTTATTCATGAGCTCTTCCTTTTCGATGATGAGCCGCACATTCACGTGGTTCTGGAAGAGGACCACCTTGAGCGTCGAGATCGAGAGGTGTGCGAGCTCTGAGTCAGGCATCGCCACTAGTTCATCGAACGTGGGTGCCAGTGGTGGGGGTCAGGCAGCGTGAGGTGTAGTGGACACAGAAGAAGTGCAGGTCCACACTGTGTGGGGAACATTGACATTCGGGGAAGCAGCGCTCGTGTGGGAGGGAGGCATGCAGGGAGGCACCGTGCCGGGATCTGGAGGTGGAGTGTGCTGATCCATGCATGGCTGTTGATGCTGTTGACATGGAGGCTGTCACTGCTGCTGTCAGCATGGGTCAAGGTCAGGTCGAGGGAAGCTGCTCGAGATGGAGGTTGTGTGCTGGTGGGGCCGGTAGGGTCACTGCTGGGGCTGTGGCAGGAATCACGATGCGGACGAGTCTGAACCCATCAAGTCCATAGCATGGGTGAAGATTCCGTGGGGCCAGCTGCTTCGGCAGTCTGATACAGAATGTTTGCAATAGAAGGTCTGCGAGAGGGGTTGCATGGAGATGGTCATAATATGGGGGAGTAACTTACTTCATTCTCTTTGGATAGGCAACCGGTTGGCGACTGTGAACTTGCTTGACTTGTTATGTAAGATGAGAAAGGGGCTGTGTGACATACCCTCGCTGCAATGATCGCATCGATCAGATCATCCTTCTCAACAACCCCACTGATCTTGATGTTATAGTCGCCCACATATTTCTTGAGTTTTGAAGGTCGGAGCTCTCGCAAATAGCTCTTTCTGCCTGCAGTGACTGATCACTGCCTGATTCAGTGTCTGACTTGTGCCAGCGGGGAGAAAGAGACTGAATGCGAGGGACATACTCATCAGGTTGTCAATGCAGAACCCACACACGGAGGTGACATCAAAGCCTGGCCCGTTGCCCCTGTGGGGCATCAGCGCCTGGAAGTCCATGCATGAATGGCAGTACAGGTATCCTAAGAGCAGAGTTCAGTTTCACCCAGTGCGATGCACAACAAGGGCTGACAAAAATGAACCACAGTGGTTGCACTTGCATGAGTGTGCAAAGACGATGTTGAATACTTTGTCGCACTTGCGGCACGACTGCTCGCTTCCACTGTACTCAGGTGGCGGTCTGCTGAGGAAGGACAGGACTCCATTCAACATGGAGTTCGGAGGTGGTAGGTGGTTCGCAACAAAGTGTGTGGCACGCAGATTTGGGTAAGGCAGTGCTCAGGGCCGACCTGTTATATTATTTTTGTAGCAGGTTTATAACAGGATGTTATAAATATATTGACACTATGGCTGAGCGGCTGGCATATCAATCGATTATCATTTTGGTCTGCTACTGAGACTACGACTACCATCATATCTCTGTTGGCTGTCTGATTTCGCCCCAATGGCTGACATAAACGTCAAGGTATGTTACTTGTTGTTTTAATGACTTCGCAGTCTCACATGGATGATGGTAGCCCAACTTGTCTGAGGAGATCTGGGAAGAAGAGTCGACGCAGATGGATGATAAGCAGAACAGCTGTCAATTTCCTGCACCTCCTGCTATTGGGAGGGTGCACAAGTCTCACTGAAGGAAGGCAGTATACAGGACGGTCACTCAGACAGCGAGCCCACGAGGGACACCTCGATCTCGAAACGAATCTGCTCCTGTGATCGACCATGAACAAGTGCAGAAAGCTGTCATTACCGGAGCATCATCTGCATCCTCGTACTTGCTCGGTATTTTCTCCCTTGCATTATGACTACTCCGCAAACCGCTTGGTATACTCCTCTTCATCTGGATCTTGGGCATTCTCTTCGCGCAAATGGCGCAAACCTTTCACACAGTCTTTTTGCCATTTTGTATCATTTCCGGGATCTCCACCTCTGCATTATGCTGCATACTGCCGCCCATCCTGAATATCAGCCTGAAATGGGCAAATTTCCCCCAGCTTGCAGAGCTGCAGGGTGCGATGTTCGAGCAGTTGCTGGATGAGTCAGTCACAGATTCTAGCCTCAGTTTCAAGATCAAGAAGGCAGAGATGGCGATGAGCGATCTTGTCATGCTTGTGTGCCACAGCAATCTGATTAGCAGGGACCTTCTGGCAGAGTCGTTGGTAGGTTTTGTGGACGACGCGAGGAAAACGGGTCAGGGTTTGCATAGACTGAGCTCGAAGATCGGAGGAGCAGTGGATAGGTGACTGCCAACATACATATGACATATTATGTCGTTGTACTGACAAATATGAAGTATCATGGCCGTTAACAACTATGCGATCCGTGCCATCGAAGCGGCGAACGAGAAGCCCTCATCATCTTTCTCGAAGATTTGGCCATTCGCATCCTCTGTTACCTCTGCTGTGACATGAGCGATCGTCCTGCAGACATCCACAGATTCCATGGACATCTCCATGAGTCACCTCGAGGCTGTCCATGAAGTGGTCAATCGTGAGAACAATACCATCTCGGCTGCACATGATGAGCTGCTCGCCTCGCTGTGGATGTCGCTTGGTGGAAACAGGCATGAGCTGAAAGGGAAGAAACAGCATCTCGTGCTTCTGAAGGAACTCAGTGCATACTGCAGATGGGCACTCGCACATGTCACGGTTGTCCTGCAGATGCTGCATGCTTTGAGTGCAGACCTGGAGGAGCTGCGGAAGAGGGTGGCAGTGCCGGACATCCTTGGTGAGCAGATTCCTGTGGAAGTGCATATGCAGGCTATCCAAGCTGGGCTCGATCGCCTGAAGGAGGGGCAGATGAAGGCACGAGAGAGAGAGGGGTTGATTTTTCATCACATTTTCGATTCAGATGTGCCGGTGTTGGATGGATGATACCCATCATGATGGTTTCTTTCATTCTGCTATTTTCTGGAAGTTCTCTGTGCTGTGACATTCAGTGATGCATCGATGCAGCCATAATGGTATATATTACTTGCCTTGTCTTTCATCATACTGTTGTTTCACCCCACAATTTGCACCATATTCTGTATAGTCAGCAGGAGCAGAGCCTCTTCCAGCATCATGGCCATGGCCTCCTCCCCTACCATGTCCGCTGTACAGGTTTTTGTAGTATTCACCATGGTCTGAAGCAGAATAATATCTTTGAGATCTTAGCGCTCTTTGCGGGAAAGGCTTTGCCAGCCTACGAAAGGCGTAGTGGCTCGTACCTGACATGCAACAGACAATTTGAGATGAGATGTAGGTCACCAATTAAATGAGTCGACAATGATATGGGTCTCGCTCAAGATGTGGTCGTACATCAAATGTGCCCAAGTTGATCATGATCGACGTCATCCTCAGCCGTGCTGTCCACCACAACTAGCCAGCCACGCTCAGCGAATAATGCATTCAATGACTCAAACATACATACAATTCAACGTGCAGTGTATAGACAGCTACTAGGAGTATAATATCTACGTTAATACAACAACATCCGTCCAAAAACTAATCACACAAAAATACGATGCACAGTGATGAACACCAGTCCTATCATTCACATACCGCATTTATGAGATGAGAGGTAGGTGATTTGTGGCATGCAGGGAGCAGCTAATGGGAAGCGACAAGTAGGTTTGGGTCGCCATCCAGCCAGAGGTGGTGAATTCACTGCTCGTCGTGTTCTTCATTGAATGCAGCAGAACACAGGTGAGATCAACAGACCATGAAACATAGAACATAAACAACATATACAAGGCATCTGCCTTCACCTCCTCCATCTGTTCCTGTCCCTTCAGGATAAAATCTGCACGGCACGCATACTACACAGCCAACGTCAGCCACCACACCCTAACGCTCAAGCAAACACTCACATGCCCTGGCTTCACTGTCACTGACAGTGCAAAGCTCACCGTCTCATCCCTTCACTCCCTCTGCAGTGCCAACAACACCTGCTTCAAGCCATCGTGGTCCACCTCGCACCCAGCGATGACCCCAGCGCACTCGTGGGAAAACATATTATTGAACCGCGTGCACTGAACAGGTCTATTGGGTCCAGCTCGGGCCCGGCGTGTGCACACGCCTGATCTTCATGGTGTAAAGTGGATGCACGGTGACATCATCAGCGTGTGCAGGCTCTGCTCGAGCCATTCCATGCTCGGACGCTCGGCCATGGTCGTGTTAGAAGAAGTGGTCTCGATTGTAGATAGATTCAGTAACTGAGCAAAGCAAGACTTGAGAGACTGCTTTTGTGGGATGGTACAGAAAGTTGTGAAGAATGCAGCAGCGGACGTGCGGGAACATGCAATGTTGCGGTCACTAGTGGGTCCCATGATTGTAGTACAATCACTCACCAGTGTGCTGTCACAGTATGACCCTCCGTGCCACGTGAAAAACCTATCATATATAGTCCGAACCAAGTGCTAAGACAAGCTTAGCATTACCAGCCTTTTGGCGAAGTGGTCCATCGTCATAATTGGTATTGGTTCATAGGGATTAGGTCGGGTCCCGTGACAAGATGCTAAGCTTACCTAAGGTCACTGGTTCGAACCTCTGGTCTGGCAGACTTATAGTGCAAGTTAGACACGATTATTAAGGTCGTGCAAGTTAGTCATGAATAGGCTAAAGATGCTGAATCGTGCGAGTTAGTCATGATCTATGGACAAAAGGGGTTAGGGTGGCACCCCGTCCTTTCATGCAAGTTAGTCACTATAGACCCAGAGAGTTACTGCAATACCCCTGACTACAACCAAATAGGGTTTGCCAGCTATATACCCTGGTTGAGGTTGATGCTATATACCCCTCGGGATGAGGCGTCTTGAGAGCGGGGTAGTGTCACAGTATGACCCTCCGTGCCACGTGAAAAACCTATCATATATGGTCCGAACCAAGTGCTAAGACAAGCTTAGCATTACCAGCCTTTTGGCGAAGTGGTCCATCGTCATAATTGGTGTTGGTTCATAGGGATTAGGTCGGGTCCCGTGACATGTGCTAAAATGAATGTGAACAAGTCCTTGAGGTTATTGTACATTGTAAGTCTTCATTGTACATAATTGTATGCACATTGTAGTAAGACTAGAAAACACTGTGCATCTCAGAGAATTGACAATGCATTGAGGTTTTAAACATTGTAGATTACCTGTGTACATGATTGTATGCACATTGTAATAGATCCACGGAAAGATTGTTTCACATTGTGCATCCTAGGCAATTGACAATGCATTGAGGTCCT